CCCCAAAACCCCAAAACCCCAAAACCCCAAAATAGCTGTTAGAATTAAATCGTAAAAATATGGACAAAGTACGGTAAAATAACCCCATTATGTCTTAAAAGGTGGAATTGCCATACTTCTAGGGAGACTTGTACCTCATAAGACATTTTGAACAGGATTTTATTCCTTGTGGTACTGTTTTTAGCCCAAAATCTTTAGAGTCCTGCAATTTAGAACAATTTGCCTTCAAATCTTCATTTTCCCAAGCCTAAGTCTCAAACTTAAAAATCACCTTTTAACTCATAGAAAAGCCAGATAAGGTGAAGCGAAGAAACAGTCGCTTTTGGGGATATCGAAGAGGCTCAGAATCAGGGAATCCCGGAGCTTAAGACAAATTACTCCCCTTTCAAATGAGAAAAGTCGAACAATGGGATTAAATACCCAAAATAATGCCTTCAATTACAACAAACTGCAGGTGTCAAGTGGTCTGACATTTCATGAAGACACCACCTCTGAAGTGCCTTCAGAAAGGATGTCTCAGTTTGATTCTCCTAAAAGAAAACTAGGCAATAGGAAATATATTAACAGCCATTATAAGCGAAGAGGTAGGCTATTCTCTTATCTCACGACTATTTTAGAAACCGCAAAGGCTGAAAAGTTCAAATATATCGAAGATAGTACCTATAAGAAAATTGAATATGAAACCCCTGCCAAGAACGGTTCCTGAAGTAACCCAGTATTTCCTAATTTTAGACATCAACTTCTCCGGAACAAGTCCAACTGTTCTCAGACCAATTGAAAATTACCCAAAGGAAGTGCTAGTTTCAGAGTCGGATTTGGACAAGGATATTGAGGATTATTCTACGAAAGACCATAACTACTGAGAAGTGCCCCAGATCTTTACTCAGGCTGAAGGAGGCCTAGGAAAGAAGATATTTAAATTCTCTCAACAAAGTTCTACAAATCCATCACCACACAGAATTGAATATCTATCTAAAGTAGGTTTAACGATTATAACTGATTTTTAGGAATTAGAAAAATTTAGTTCAAGCCAGAAGACAATGAAAAAGAGCCCTATTAAGTATTCCAACAAGTCCATGCATTACAAGTTGGACCGAAATGTAAACTAGCTGGTTTAATTCAATAGCCTGAAAGTGCAATGGAGGTCCTAACCAAGAGTTTACTCCTCCAGAATAGTCTTCATGACCACTCCTTGAGGTCCAATTCCAGAGGTAACAAAGAAAATAAGCTAGATATGAGGAAGAATGAAACTCAGCGTATAAATGCAAAGAGACAGTCTAATGGTCGTTATGCATTAAACGAATCAAGTTTGTATCAAATAACCACTCCTCAAGGCAGGTTATCTTCAAAAGGAAGGCAGATTGGATACTCACAAATTCATAAAGTTAAGAAAGCGACTTCTACAGTTAGGAGACCCAATTTTCACAAATCTTCTCAAAGTCTTAACTGTACTTCTACAAAAGGAAAGACTGTAAATCGTGTGAGTCCGATGGATAAATCCAGGAGCCCTTCCATGTCTAAATCATCGAGGGCTAATGACAAGTACATTTATAACAGGCTGGAGCAGGATCTCCTGAAAATCCTGCAGAGCAGTATTGTCACAGGCCCTGCCAATGGAAAGGTAAATTATGAAGACTTTGTCAACATCATGTTCCATCTTGGCTTTATTGTCTCAGAGTCTACAGCTAGAACTCCTTTCGCAGAGGCTGAGCTTAACGATAGAGAGAATAAACTCCTGATCAAAATCTGGAGTCATTTAAAGGGAAAATACAAAGGATATATTAATCTAGACAATATTAAAGTTTACCTTGCTGGGATCCTCAATGTTGACCTCAGCTTTATGTATGATAGGTCGTACTTGAAGACTACTACGGAAGCACAGAATAAGAGAGATTTCTCACCATCCTTGACCTTCAATGGGCTCTTAAGAAGCCAATCAAACAACCGATATGCAGGCATGTCTACTTCAACCCAACAGGTGAAAAATATGAAATCGAAAAAGACTGGTTATAAGAGTGTTGGAGTGTTCACCACTAAAGGGAGATTCTTGTTCAGAAATAAAGAGGAAATCAGAAAAATCCATTCTTACTACAAACTTCTATCTGTTCAGAGGCTAAAGTATGTCTCTCAGACTCCAAGAAATGGACTTGATAAAGCTAGAATATCGAAGACCAAAGTTCTATACCAGAACTTCAGGAAGGAGCATGAGGACTCTTCAGTGAACAGTTCAGGATATTTTGGTAAATCTTTTTATGAAGAGAGCAAGAAGAGAAGCTGCTCAAGATCCAGCCTTGCTAAAAGAAGCCATATAGAAAGACCTATAGAGGGAGTAAGCTTGATTCCCAAATTTCCTACATTATTTTATATTAGCTATACTCTAACCAGAGCTGTTTAGGATGTGTGTAAGTCAACAGTAAGGCCTTTCATCAGGAAAAATGTTCCAGAGAAAGCAATTCAGATAAAATGTGACCTCAGTCAGAAGTATTTTGAGTCGATGTCTGAATTTGAGGAGTCTCAGATTTCAAAAAGCAAAAATAACTCAATCTCAGATGATTCTATTAGAGAAACTTTGAGAACTCTCTCTGTGAAGAACCAAAGCAAGGACCCTAATGAGAAATCAGAGGAAGAAAGAAGGTAAATTATGAATCTCATTCCTAGTCTCACCATATTCAAATGTTCTGATAATACTACTGATTATGAAGTTGCTTCAAATGGAAAGCAATCAGAGAGGTTTGACAGGAGGCAACAGCTGAGGAGAAAATCTAAAGCAGATCCTTCTCTGAGATATTACCTTCCAAGCGATAAAGATAGTGAAAATCATGACCAAGAGATTTATAATTTCAAGCAATCCTTTGTGAGCATGACTGACAAGACTGCTTTTTACCCAAATAATTTCCTTACGACTGTGAAAGAGTCAGATTGAGATGGTTCTAAACTAAGAATCCCAAAAGAGAAATCTTCATATGTAAGAATCTAATCTATCCTTATAGAATGACTCCATTAATCTCAACAATACGAACCAGAGTAGTAGAGTAAAGGAGGAGGGATCTCAACTGATTGTGAAGGGAAGGCCTAACCGTCCTTACCTGTTCATCGATGTGATAATCAACCAGGACTACCACCCTCTAAAAGAGAGCATAAGCGTGTTTGAAGGAGACACTGCAGAAAGCTTGGCTATGGAATTCATAAAAGAACATTCTTTGAACGAAGAGATCATTGAAAATCTTACAAACATGATTAAGCACCAAATAGCCAAGGTTAAAAATAATTCCAATTAGCTATACTTATTCTTGGTAGGGAGGTTAAGGACTGGGCAGGTACACTCTTTATACAAATATTTTGGACCATTCCTTATATTAGGATGGACCAGACTTTATTTTATGCTAAAATGATAAACGAGCACTAAAGAAAGCTAAGGCTTCCTTCTGGCATTCATTGGGGCTATGTATAATATAAACTTCCTATTTTATAAGTTACTTATCCTGATCGAATTCCCAAGATCCCCTCTTGGGTAAACGACATGACTAAAAATAGGAATAAATCCAGTAAGGATTTAATAATTTGATACTTTTCTTTGGCATAGTTTTAAGGTCGAACATCTATATTGTGGGGTAATATGAAGACCAGTTATAAATAGCTTTAGGGACAACTTTGAGTGGTGTAGCTTGACTCCATCCACTTTTAATAAAATTTTAATGCAGAAGAGGGAGTTTCTGATAGTTCAAAAATAATAAATTTGTGTAAAAGTCCTGGAACTTAGTCTCAGTACTTTAGAATAATGAGGGGTTTTGGGGTTTTGGGGTTTTGGGGTTTTGGGG